TATGTTAAAATTGTTTCTACCTCATGTTTTTTAAAAATTACTTGCAGTTTTTTATTAAATAAATCATTTTCTATTACGCCTTTGTGTGTCAGTTATTAATCTTGAATAATAAGTTCAGGGTTGTCCAGCATTTTTTCAAGTAGTAAAAAGTCAAATGTTGATAATGTTCTAAAGCTGCATGTAAGTACTATTATAATAGCATAAAAATGAAAATCTTTTTTTTGGCAAGGAAAAAATCTGAAAAGGCTTTTCGGAGAAGGTAACATATTAAAGTCTGGTAAAGACTAGGTAGAATTGCATAAATTGTAATGGAGGAATAGACAAATCTAGATAGAGGGTACAACAAATGGGAAAAGGAAAAGACATGTACAGGGAACAGCAAAAATAATTTAGCATAGTTACAGGAAATATGCAAGGAAGTATGAGAGGCCATGGGTTACAAACCATGGTTCCCAACCTATTACTGGCACATGAAAGCAATTTTAATAGGTTGCAACAAGCTTTGTTTTCAATGGAATAGAGAAAAATATTATGGTGTATCACATGTAAAAAATACACAAAAGTAGAATAAAATAGTGAACTCCTATATACCCATCACCCATATTCAATAGGTAGAAGATTTTGCTGCAGTTGTTTTCTCAACATCCGTTTTTTTCCTTTGCTGAGATGTTTCAAAGCAAACTCTAGTTATCATTTAATTTCACCGTTATATTTCAGTATGTGATGAGCTTTTAAAAAATTGGTTTTTTTTTAAGATTTTATTTATTCATTCGAGATACAGAGAGAGAGAGAGCGCATGAGCAGGGGGATAAGCAGGGGGAGATGGAGAAGCAGGCTCCCCGCTGAGCCAGGAGCCAGACATGGGGCTCGATCCCAGGACCCTGGGATCATGACCTGAACCGAAGGCAGATGCTTAACCATCTGAGCCACCCAGGCGCCCCCAAAAATAGTATTTTTGTTACATGATGATACTAGTAAGTTTAAAAACCTAGATTGTTAGCTTTAGTAAATTCAGGGCTCAGAATAGATTAATATTCTACTTTAACCCTGTTCATTTAGTTTAAACATAGGCACTAAATTCCAATTCTGTTCAACATAAGGAGACTGGAGTATCCAGCAAATGTATATTTTGGAATTTAAGAATATCTACCTCAAAGGGAGAATTTATTTATTTGCTTGCTTGCTTTAAATAAAACTGGTTTATTGATGAGTTAAATTTCTTTCCTACTTTTTACCTATGAAGTCACTGGGGGAAAAGCAATCTAGGAAATAAAGCTCTTTTCCTTTGTTCCTGGTTCTATAAAGTAAATATATACTTAATTTTATTTGCTTCTTTAAATGTACGTAAAATACAAATACTTCCTTTTTTACCCATCATTTGGAGAAGAAAAATGAACAAGTCAGTCATATTTCAATGTTTAATAGCAAGATGGAAGGGGTTAGACATGCAATGAATTTTAGACTCCTTGAAACACTAAAAACCTACATTTTGAGATTATGGAAATCGACACTACTTTTGTATTGGTTCAAATTCTGGTTCTGTCACTTAGTTTTTCTGAAGTCATTTGACCTTTCAGAGGCTAGTTTAATCTGCAAAGTGGAGACAATTCCATCCTCATGGGGTGGTTTTTGAAAATGAAAAGACTTTGGCCTAGGAACTGATACATAATTACATGCTCACTGATACTAGAGGGAATATGGAAATCAGTGGTGAGAGGATAATGGGATAGTTGGCTATACTTGTAGAAAAAATGAAGTTTGATCCTGTTCCACACCATTCACTAAAATCCATTCTGGGTGCAATAACAGGCCTAAATATGAAAGATAAAGCTTGTAACTTTTTTTTTTAAGATTTTATTTACTGCCCCTGAAACAAATAATACATGTTAAATAAAAAATTTTTTAAAAATTTACTTATTTTTAGAGAGAGAGACCATGAGAGGGGGAGGGCAGAGGGAGAGGGAAAGGGAGAGAATCTCCATAGACTCCCTGCTGAGCGTGGGAGCCCAACAACAGGGTGCTCCATTTCATGACCCTGAGATCATGACCTGAGCCAAAATCAAGAGTCGGACGCTCAACCTACTGAGCCACCCAGGCATCCCGCCCATAAATTTAAAGAAAGGCAGACCTTATTTTCAGTTATTCTATTCTTTTTTTTTTTTTTAAAGATTTATTTATTTGAGAGAGCGAGAATGAGAGAGAGAGCGCACATGAGAGGGGGGAGGGTCAGAGGAAGAAGCAGGCTCCCTGCCGAGCAGGGAGCCCGATGCGGGACTCGATCCAGGGACTCCAGGATCATGACCTGAGCCGAAGGCAGTTGCTTAACCAACTGAGCCACCCAGGCGCCCTCAGTTATTCTATTCTTAATTATATGCTCTAATGACTCTTTTGGACATTGGCATAAGGATATATATACAACTTTGAAACACCCCAAACACCCCAACCTGGAACTTCTCTTGGACATGGATGATCTTAACAAAAGAAACAAGTAACAATTTATGGTGTTATTCCATTTGTGAAAAGTTTATAAACAGACAAAAATAAATTACATGGTTTAGGGGCACATCTTGCAAGGCAGAAAACAGAAAAGCAAGGAAACGATTCTCATAAAAGCCAGAATGGTATTTACCTCAAGGGGGATGGTGAGTAGTGGCTAGGGGTAATTCCCAAGGACGATGGCTCCATCCTGTGCTCAGTTTATCTGGTGGTGGTCACCCAGCTGTTCACTTTATAATGATTCTTTAAACTGTATGTAGAGAGCAAGATGGAGTCATTTATGTCAAGCAAGGGCCCATGTCAAGCAATGACGGAAACACTTAAGGGTACTGCATTAATCAGATACCCACACCAAGACCAACACCAGCTGACGGTACCCCAGAACGGATAACAAGCTGAAGCAGAGGAGCTCTGCAGGGGCCTAAGACTGATTAAATCCTTTTTTAAAAAGGGAGGTTTTTGTTTTTGTTTTTTACAGGCCAGCAGGTTTATTCTTTTTAAAATTTTGTTAAATTTATTTTTTTTAAAGATTTTATTTATTTATTTGACAGAGAGAGACACAGCGAGAGATGGAACACAAGCAGGGGGAGTGGGAGAGGGAGAAGCAGGCTCCCCGCTGAGCAGAGAGCCGGATGCGGGGCTCCATCCCAGGACCTGGGGACCAGGACCCAAGCCGAAGGCAGACGCCTAACGACTGAGCCACCCAGGCGCCCTGAAATTTTGTTAAATTTAAATTAAAAATTTTTTTTATTATGTTCAGTTAGCCAACATATAGTACATCATTAGTTAAAAAGGGAGGATTTTTTTTTAGCAAACTGTCATACTCCTCAGACACCCTCTATGTCTAACCGCTTAAAAAAGGCAGCCGCTGGGGCGCCTGGGTGGCTCAGTCGGTTAAGCAGGTCTGCCTTAGGCTTGGGTCATGATCCCTGGATCCTGGGATCGAGCCCTTCCTCCAGCTCCCTGCTCAATGGGGAGCCTGCTTCTCCCTGTCCCTCTGCCTGCCTCTCCCCCTGTTTGTGCGCTCGCTCTCTCTTTCTGTCAAATAAAATAAAATATTAAAAAAAATAAAAAGGTAGCTACGGCTGAAGGCTCTGCTTAATTGATTAGAACAGAACTTAATAAGCAGTAAGTGCCTGGAGGTGACCCTGACAAGACGAGGCCTTATCTCAGCTGGGCACACACAGACTAACTTGTTTGGTTCCTTAACTTCCTACTCCCTGTTATCTTTTGTCGTGTGGCTTGTGTTCTGCTTTGTGTGCCTAGGAAGAAGCCAAGTTAATCACATGGTGAAATGTCATTGAGTTTGAAATCCTGAACTTGCTTTATAATTACGTTAACCTTGCTTTGTGACTGAATAAAGCTGACATTGTGGAGAGGAGACTCGTGTGGGCACCTTCATAGCCTGCTCATTACGGTTTGTTTTATACTTTTTTCTCCATGTATCATTATCTCACAGTAAAGAAAATTAAAAAACCAAAAGAGGTAAAGAAACATAAAACTATACTGGCCGAGGTGATGAAGAGAAAAAGAGCCGAAATATCTCGGTCTTTCTAGCTGAGCCACTGTCTTAACAATTGCTAATCTAACTACGTAATAGCTTACTTTCCCCAAACTGATATAGCTTAACCTAGTGTCATCTGACCACGAGGGTTTTTCTTCCTCCCCGAAATGAGAAAAGGCTAACTTTATCTCTACAGGTCTGCCCCTTGATAAGTGCGGCCCTTCCCACTGTCCGTGCATTTACTGGTTTAAATGCCGTGCTTGGGCTGCCTAGTTGCAGCAGATGTCTGCCCCCTGTTAATTGCTTCAGGTCTTCTAAATTCCTTTGCTCCCCTAAGACCTTGTGAGGCGTGAAGGGAAGCGGTCAGGTGTATCAGATGAACCCCGCCGCCGCGTGGACGAAAACGTTTGCACGTGGCTCGCACCCCTTGGCAAAGCAGCCCCAGCGCCCTGGCGAAGCCCCCGGGGGAGAGGTCGGTAGTCCGACCAGGGCCGGGCCTCCGGCTCCTCACACGCGAGGTCTCCTTCACGCTCCTCTTCCTTCTCCTTCCGGTCCGGCTGGACGCGAGGAGGCCTGGCGAGGGCGGGTTTCTCTCCTGCCGGTTGCAGGCCG